AGTGTTCTAGGTCGAGGGCAGCAAGTGCAAAGGCCAAGAGGCAAGAAAGATCTTAGCATTTTCGAGGAAGAGCAGGGAAACCGGCGTAACTGCAGCATGGGAACCACCGGGTGAGAGGGAGGAGATGGGTCAGGCAAGGCCTTCCAGGCCTGGTAAGAAACGTACATTGTATAATAAGAGCTTTATCCCCACTTAGCAGATGAGAAACCCAAGACTCAGGTTACCTACCTTGCCCCAAGCTACACAGCTGGAGAGTAGCCAAGCTGCGACTCCACCTCAAAGTCCACGTCTTCTTTCCTCTACCCGCTGGGCTGGCTGCTCCGAATGTGGTCACTGCTAAGTGACTAATGACAACTGATTTAATGACAGGAGCATGGGTGGTCAGTTTGCCAGGGAAGTCTTCATGGAGGAGCTAACAACTGAATCAGGTATTTAAAAATGAGGAGGACTTTACCCGGTGGACAAGTGGGGAAGAAGTACATTCAAAGCAAGGAGAGAGCGTGAGCAAAGACAGAGATAAGGAACATGTGGTTTGTCTGGGGGATGAGAGGCAATGAGCTGTGGAGCATGGAAGTCATAGGAGACAGGTGTGAGAAGGCAGGCTGCGCCAGATGACAAGAGACCCTGAATGACTAGCGAGGATTTCTGAATTGACTCCTGGGCAATGAAAAGCCAGGGAAGGTTCTCCAACAGGCTAAACTATTCTGTGTTTTGGGAAGATGCCTCTGGTGCAGGAGCCAGGAGGGGCTGGGGCTGGAGGGAAGGAACAGCTAAAATAAATGAGGAAAGGAGAGAGGAAGGAGGGAAGTGGTGAGTCATGAACTGCAGATGGAAGTGGGGAAGCAGGGCAGGCCCCTCAGATCCCAGAGATAACCAGCATTGCTAATCCCCAGACCTCTACAAGCCGGTGGGTGGGGCAGTATTTGGGAGAACGGAGGAGCTCAGGCAGTAGATAAGGAGGTATTTTTGCAGATCCCAAGAATGAGGCACCACACCCCGTGACTCCTGCCCTGCCGCACTCCACCCCCCGCTGGGCCTGGTCTCGGTCCTTGGTCCATTCTTAGCCATTAGCCCTGACCCCCAACAGCCTAGGGCTGTCCATTCATGCCCCCACAACTCCCAGGCCCATCATCTTCCCTCAGATTCCCCAGACTCCATTATCTGGGGAGCATAAAGGTGGAATGTCAGCTTCACAGGGTTGGGTGACCCTCGAATACTGATAACAGCCAACCCTTAACAGCCCTCCCTCTGAGAGGGGCCCTGTTCTAAGTGCTTTATTTTTACTTATTTCATCTTTATAACATCCCTACAAGGTAAATACTATTGTGTTCCAAGGAGAGGAACTGTGGCACCAGGGACTTTGACCCCTGGCAATCTGGTACCAGGGTCTGCGTGTAGACTGTCTGTCCTGGGCCTTCTGTTAGTCATTGTTTTCCATGGGCTCTGAGTGTCTCTGCCCTTTATCTTCTCACCCTTCTTTGTTTTCATGACAATCCTGCCAGATGCTCCGATTTCTGCTAGGAGTGAGGGCTGCATGTGGGGATTTGGCACCTGGGCGTCAGCCTCTGCCCCCTCGGGAACCAACTGCCTGCCTGCAACAGGGAGATGGGAAGCTCACCTGATGTCAGAGGGCCCCTCTGGGGAGGCAGTGTCAGCCTGTATGAACCCTCCCCACCCTGCACCCGGCACCAGTGTGGGACCCGCTCGGACCTGGAAGCCTGCCACAGCCAGCCCCAGGCAGCCCTCTCCCACCACTCTGCTCCAGGCGCCCAGCCAGGCAGACCCTGACCAGGATTCCCTGGCACCAGGATCACCCGCCAACTCTGAGATCCGGGGAGCTGGGAGCCCTCATGCCCACTAGATGGCGAGATACGCCAAGAAATGTAAGTTTGACCACCATGCCTCCCCTCTCACCCAGAGGGACTGAATTTTCACCACACACCCTTTGTATTTCTCTCTTTTATCCCCATTCCTCACCGCCGCCCCGCCCCCATAGCCAACCATTTGTACGTGTTTCTGTAAAACATGAGCATGTGTTTTTCGAGTTTTATACTCAGTATTTTTAAAATCCATCCATGTTGCTGTTGAGCACATTTAGTCCCTGGTAGGCACCCTCCATATTTATTTCCCCTATCTGAGTGTGCAGGGCAACCAGGTTCCCTCCAACACCCCTCGCCATTCCAGCCATTAGCACCATTGCACTTGACCCCATGGCTCTGAGGACTTAGGGAGCAGAAACGCCAGGTCACAGAGTACATGCCCACTTAATGTGATGTAGCACCACTAGCCAGCTCTCAACTCACCCTTCCTTGGAGGATTCTTGGGGAAAAGGCCACTGGCCTCCCACGATGGCACAGCCTGGCATCTCTCCCAAATCCTTTCTGCTTGGGCTTTCGGGGAGTTGGAGAGCTGCTGGCTGGTGGCCTCTGTCAAGAGCATCTTGCAAATGTAAGACCTTAGGTCCTGCTGTCTACCCTAGGCTTGCTCTCTCCACCTTTATTGAGTGCTCACCAAGGCCACATTGGCCCATTAAAAGCCCCACATCCCTGTCTTCAGGAGTCTTTCTGATGCCAAGGCCCATTCTTTCCCTCTTCTCCTTACCACAAAACCACCCCAGTTTTCTGTACTTCCCCAAGTTCTCTTCCTCAGCCCATTTTCCATGTGATCAGTTCTGAACTTTCTAGCTATGCGTCTATGGGCAACTTATTTATATTCTACAACTGTCCTTGTCTGTGATATCCCTTCTGGCTTCTGCACACAGCCCTCTCTCTCTGATGCCCTGCTTCCCACACATTCAAGTAGCTCAAACTTCTCCTCCTCCAGGAAGTCATCTTGGATTGAACGAGGTGTGGTGCCAAAGCCATTAACCCAAGTGTCAGCTAGTAAGAGCTTAAATATCTTT